TTTTTCCAGAATAACAATGAAATCGCTATGTGTTTGTTTGAGTATATATTACATTAGCCGGCCGCGATAATATATTTTCGGTAAGCTTTCTCTCTGGCTTTGTCCCAGTTTTTTTTTTTGTGTGTTCTTGGTAACAAATAAAATAAATTAGGTTGTATAATTAGCTGGTTGGCTATTTTTGGCACGGGAATTTATGCTGTGTAATTACTATGTTACGAAATTATTTTAATTAAATTGCTAGTTTTATTACCTGTCATTCCAGTTTGACACACACTGAATTTTTGCGCCTTTGTGCTGTGCCTGCAGATTGCAATTAAATTTCATTTCCATAAAATGTTAACAGAAGAAAAACCCAAAAGGAGAAAAAATCAAAGGAAAAATTACGGAAAGATATGAAAAATTGAATTGTGTGCCTAAAATAAATTGAATTTTGATTGCTATTTGGCAGGTTTGCTCCTGCTGCTGCACTAACGAAGCGCCATTGTTGCCACGCCCACATACACACTCTCAGTCATATCGTCACTCTTCCAGGAGGGATTATTAATGACGATTTGTCAGCCGACTGCACGTAGCTGGCCCCAACAATATGCAATGCAAATTTTGTGCGAAAATCTCATTTGCCCAATTCAGGCATGGAATTACATAAAAAAATTATAGGAGAACCCCCATCCGCTGCTATCTATTTGCGGGTCGAAGGGGGTGTGGTGCTGAGTGGAGTGGAGCGTGTCGATGTTAATAAAATATTCATGGCATCAATCGAGCTGGGTCCTGACACATGCCCCAGCGCCTGAGCCAGGAGTCATGCCACAACAATGGCTGGCCAGATTTATGCTAATGTATGAACCGGCAATGGCCTAGTTGAATTAGCAAAGTTCTAGCTGATGGAACCATCCGGATAAGTATAGCATCAAGTATTAAAAGTCCATTTCCATGTACATACCCAAATCCCAAAAATTGTGTCATACATCCATTACGAGGCTTAACCCAGCCCCTCCATCACTCCTCGTAGGAGTACATGTTAAATGTTTTGCATTCCGAGTGAAATGAGTGCGTTTTAAACGCTAACGAAGCAATTGTATGCACAAATGGAACATTTACACACAACTTTCACTAGTGGAGAGGACAGAGAAAATGCTCTCACACTCAACAAAAAGTTTCCAAAAGAGAATGAGAGTGTGGGATGGATTCATTCAAATTCAAATGGCCGCTTGACCCGACCACTGCCATGGCCAAAGCCATGAACTTTGCCAGTCGAATCAAATGCCTTTCACAATATGTCATTGCATGTGGATAGGGATTTTCGTCTTCGTCTCCATTTCCATCTAGCCCACCTAGTCCTGGTCTGCTGAGTGGCTCCTGCTGTTGCCTCAGTGATTATAGCAATTCATTTTGTTGGCTCTTCCCTTCCCCCGATATGTTCTGTCCAGTGTCTGTGCATCTAGCTCTGTGCGAGTGTGTCGAGCTGTTGGTCCATTCAATTTTATGGCTGTATTGTGGAGCAGCTCAGCTGAGCTAGGTAGGCTTCAATTAATTAATTGACCTGTAATGAGCCTCCGGTTGTCTGTGATTGTGACTGACACTGAGTGGTCTACCCCAGAGCATCGATAGAAATTAATAAAAATAAGTTATCATGGCTTTAATTACAAATTCGGGGAGCTTTACTGTGTTGGAATTGAATGCGTTTTTCTTTAAAAATAATATACATATTTCGATAGCCAAAAGCCATTCAAGTGCTTGAGTTTTCTTTTGCAGCTTTTAAATGCCATTCATGGCCAAATCGGATCCCCATTCCCTGCAGCGTTGGCTTCATTACGTAAAGAGTCTGGCTTGGCTTTATAATATTATCATCCTTATTCCTGTTGCCTTATGAAGCATATCGTATGACCATATATCAGAACTGCTTCCCTTTTGAGTGTACCAATTTGGGCTTTAATGCTGTGGCATAAATCATTTTTTCGCAATTCGTTTCAATTGCATAAAAATATTTCATGCTCCTTCTGCTTCAGCTTTTTCTTCTGTGTGTACATTTGCCGAGGGCGTGGCTGAGAATGCGAGAGGAACTGAGTCGGTTGGCTGCTGTCTTGCCCCCCAAAGGATGAGACTGTGGCAGAGCCTTGAATGATGCACGTTAACATACAAGCAAATGCATTTGCCATCTACCATCAACCATTTGGGCATTGCCTGCCTGCCGGGGCCACAACTTGGCCGTGGGCCAGTCGAAAGTAATGAAAAAATGCGTTTGCCAAAAAACCGAATACATGGGCAGCAGCAGCAGCAACAGAAGAAGAAGCCGGAGCAGCAGCCAGCAGGACACGCTGTTGGCCAAGTGGAGGAGCTGATTTCTGCCCACTTATGCAAGCATCGAGGCGAGCGAGTGTGCGGCAAATAAAAAGCCAGCACAGTGGCAGTGGCTCCAACTACAATTCCAGCGCCAGCTCCAAGGCAAGCACCGCAAAGCGGAAACGGAAATCGGAAACTGTGCAACTGTGCAACTGCCACCATCAGAGGCAGAGGCAGAGCCAGAGGCAAAGGCAAAGGCAGAAATAGGCGGCACCAGCACCGGCACCAGGACACGAGGACACAAGGACAACAGCAGGCGGGCCTGGGATGACGATAAAAGTGTTGCAATTTATGGTCAGGCTAGATGGCGCCCAGGCACAGGGCCCAGGCCTGGTCTCAGTTTCGGTTTCAGCCCAATCACTACCCCAAAGCGAAGACCCAGGCCATAGACAGAGGCAGAGGCAGAGGCAGAGACAGAGCCAGCTAAAGTTTCTGGCTAATTGATTTTGTGATTTTATCTTTTAATGACTTTTTCGGAAAGTGCAAAACTAAACTGTGGACTGTCGTGGCGCCTGCCTCGTATATATTTGATTTTAATTGCATTAAATGCACTGCTTGCCATACCCCTCCCAATCAACGCACAGCAAGCAGTTTATTGAGCAGCGACAGCCCAAAAGTATGCATCGCGCCCATACGCCACTTCCATTCGACGCGTGAAAGAAACGCGTGCGAAACGCGTCGAAAGTTGAGTTCGTTTCAGTTGTTAATGCTCTCTTGACAATCAATTGAACAAACCTCCAACTTGCAGCTGAGCTCGGCAGGAATCTCTTTAAGGGAGCAACTTAATATTAAAAGTATTTTTTTCGAGAGTAAAAAATGTCTCCTATCTGTTATCGAAAAGGATTATCAGTCCAAGTCTTACCCTTGATTGCCAATGGTTAATTGAGACTGGGACCCTAAATTTAAAGAGTATTTCCTGTGGGTTTACTGACAGGATAACTTTTCGAATTCTTAAAAATTCTTAAGATAAACAGAGAGCAAAGAAGTCTTCATTATTGCTATCGTCGCAGCTCAAGGGATGCCCTCTGCCGCTCTCGTAGATTTTCCAGATCAAATAACCATAAGCAAGAAAAGCATGTCAAATACCAAGCATGACAAATAGAGAGATTTAAAGCCACAAAGTTTAGTGTTTGGAACCAGTCCGATTGAGAATGTTGTGCCTCTGGTTGCTTGTATTGCTGCTGGGCATAAATTCGGTCGAGCCAAAAGACAGGCCCAATCCAAACGAGCTGAATAACTACCACAGCAACAAAGCAATTCAGTACAAAGAATTCATTGAAGACTGCACAATGGCCAAGGAGGATGGCATCTATACCACGTACTTGCCCGGCACCAGAATGAATACTTCAGTGCGGTGCGTGGCCAGCTTCTTTGGCGGTGGCTGGACGGTGATTCAACGCCGCAGGGAGAACCATTTGGACTTTCGAAGGAACTGGGAATCGTATCAAGACGGGTTCGGGAATTTGTATTCGGAGTTCTGGTACGGACTGGAAAAGATCTATCGCATCGCAATGTCCCACCAAACGGAGATTTTCTTTCTCCTACAAAACGGAGAGGGCACTCGATCGTATGCCCTGTACGATCGCTTCACCATTTTCGGTCGCAACAACAACTACACTCTCCGCACCCTGGGGGAGTACAAGGGCGAGGCGGGCAACGGCATGCAGTACCACCTGAACATGCCCTTCTCCACCTACGACCGGAAGAACAATGAGCCCAGCAATGGTCACTGCTCGCAGCTCTTTTGGGGCGGTTGGTGGTACAACAACTGCTATACCAGGTGGGTGGCTTAAGATCTCTCCCGTCTGTTAACGTGACACCACATGGCTTTATTTGTAGCAATCTAAATGGCAAATATCCCGATAGAGAGGAGCTTCGTAGCCGTTGCTTTCGTTGCATTACTTGGACCTACTTTCAACAGTATCGACCGCTGACATTTGTACAAATTATGATTCGTCCCACGCGTAATGTGCAACAAAGGAAGATAGGATAGGAAGTAGCTCCCAACCTCTTGTCAAAGTATATTTACCCTTTGCTAGAGTATACAAGATAAGAGTAATTGCCGCAACTAATTTGATTAATTATGCTTGTTTATTCTTGTTTTGAACGATTCCCATTAGACCCACTAGAAACTTTATTCCTTTGTTCCTTCCACTATGTAGATCGAATTATGCCTCACACGAACCCTTTAGGGTTTTATGCTCGGATTATAATTCCCTCTACCACATTATATCCTCAACTAACTCCCTTCCTCTTCTTAAATCTCTTATACTAGCCTACCTCTCCCGTAGTTAGTTTCATTTTAGTTTTGTCTTGTCTCTGATTTTGGTAATTTCTGCTTGCTTAGCTTAGTCTAGTTATGATTAGATCTAATTTTCCTCGAATATTAGCCTAACATCTATCTTTCCTGCATGCTCGCGACCGGTTCGGTTAATCGCGCCGCGCGTCATGCGGCAGCGCCCCTCGGTCGGTTGGGCGGGAGGAGGGCTGCGTTCTGCTAGGTTCCGCGCGTAACAGGCTTTGGCTTGGTGTCGCATGGGCCACTTGATGGTGCAGTCATTGCATATCAACGTCCAGAAAAAAAAAAAATGTACTTTGTTTGTCTTGACATTGGCATTTTTCATTTGTTTACAATTTTTAAATCGTTTATTTTTTGTTACGATTTTCATGGCTTAAACTTTAAGTTGATATTTGCTTGTGTGGAAGCTAAATGCAAATGAAACATTAATACTTTATCCAATATTTTATGCGTCATTAAATAATCCATTAATTAACAATTAGTCGTACGTGTCTGGCCGTGTGTGTGTGTGTGTGTGTGTGTATCTGTGTGTTTCTATGTGTGTGTTGTGAGTTCATTTACGTCTATCCGTTTACATCATTAAAGCAAATATTTACAGTTTTATTGTTTAATGCTCGTGTGTACTCAACAGGAATCGCGTGTCTGTATGTGTGTGTGTGTGTGTGTGTGTGTGTGTGCGTGTGTTTAAATCAAATGGCTTTCACGAGAGATAATTAATGAGGTTCACGGCCGAGAGCTCTAATCTTATCGCCATCCATCCATCCATCTATCCATCGAGGCCATGCACATTCCCATATCCTTAACCAAATCGAATGTTCAACCTGGCTCTGGGGCCACCTGCATTTACCTGCTACGGCTGCAGTTAATCATTAGTGCCAGCATTGAGGAGAGCCAGATAGTGATGCCGCCAATGGCCCCTTGCCAGGTGAGCGCCGCCCTGGAGGTTGTGAAGTAGGCCTCCAAGAAGCTGCGCAGTCCCGTGCCCGACGACAGCGTCACTGAAAATGGTCAAGAAAAGGCCATTTGTACGGCTGCTACAGGCTGTTGCTGCTGTTGCTGCTGTTGTGGCTTACCTCTTGCCGGCACCGGATCCTTTTGTGGTGTGCCCAACTCGATTTCCTTGTACTCCTGATAGAGATCGCCAATTTGCGCCGTGCAACGCAATACAAGGCCTCCGCCAGAGCCACTCCCGCTGCCGGTGACCAGTGCGTTCGCTATGCCATTGCCATTGCCATTCCCGTTGCCATTGCCGTGGCCATTTCCATGGCCATTAATACCGGCCACAAAGTGCACCGCCTGCAGCTGCAGCTTCAGACTAAGCCGGGATGCTATTAGGTTGTCAATCGTTCGTATGTACTGCGTTTCTTCCGTGGTTATCTATCGGATAGGGAAGGGAGACAGAGAGCACACAAAAGAGAACAATCAAATCAATCGCAGCGTCCACAATATTGTTTTGGTTTTTGTCATTTGAATACTAATCAAAAGACTGCCTGAAGCTCGGTGCTCCATCCATCCCCCTCACCCAAAATGTGCCTTAAATTATTCATGGCGTGCTTCCAGCTGCAATTGCACTTGCAACTGATTTTCCCTACCGTTTCCGTACCCGAGAACAAGTCAGAAAATAATGTTCCAGCATGCAGGCAGCAAGGAAAAATAACAGAAAAATAAAAAGGGCATGAAAACTGCACTGAATTTTGCATGCCGAAGTGAATGTACACTATAGAATGTGCCCACTATAATTTCCACTGAGAAGATAAAGCCTCAAAGATGCATTACAATATATTTTAACGATTCTCTACATGTTTTAGGTAGGGGACGGATGAATCGAATGTCCCAAAGTCTGATCCTTAGCCATGCCTCCCTCTGCTAGTGTATATAAAACGTAAAGTTTCGCTCCGAGTTTTGTGCAACTGCATATGAATGGCAATTTGTCGCCTGTCTCCTGGTCCCCCTCTCTCTCTGTGTGTATGTGTGTGTGTGGAGGGGTTATTACGAGCATGTTGCACTTGTGGCAATGGCTGGCTGCCAGTGGCGAGCCTTGGCCCAGCGAAACAGAGCCGGACAGAGCACAGCTGAGCAGAGCCACTTGGCCAGGCATGGGACAGTGGCAGTGGCAATGGCAGTGGCAATGGCAGTGGCAGGGCTACTGGCAATGGCAACTGCAATGCGAGGCAAGGAAACGGACACTGAAAGCGAGCGAACGGACATGGGCATGTCATATTTTGTTGTTGCTTGTGGTAAAAGTTGTTGCTACTGCTGCTGCTGGGCATTGCCATTTAAAAACGAGTTTTCAATGTTGCACCGTAGCAGGAAGAACAGCAGCAACAACTCTTGCCAAGCATCAACAGAACGACAACAAAAACATCAAGAGACACTTATTCACTCATCCGCCTGGTTGGTTTTTTCGCCTCTGCAAGTGTCCGGCGTTTTGTTTGAGAGTGTCCCTGTCCCTGTCCCTGTCCCTGCCCTGTCCCTGTGTCTGAGTGTGTGTTCAGCACGTATGTACGAATGTATGCGTGTCCAGCTGAAGGTTGTTTGCATCGTGTTCTTGCTGCTGCTATGCAAACTGTTTATTTGATGCTTCCATCACAGCATGCCTCTGCCTCTGCCTCTGCCTGCGTGTCTAAAAATTTCATTTCCGCCATGACACCAGCAGCACCAGAAGATATCCCACGCTCCGAAATGCGACTCGATTGTTGACACAAACATATACAGAGTTGGGAAATACACAAAACGAGTACGCTTATGCGTCACTCCTGTACATTCATTCCGCTTCATTTGGCTTAGCTTGCCCTCTCCCGCACACACTCCTGCACTCATATGATTTCCGTTTGGCGCATCTTTACCGCCGAGTGCGAAAAGAAAACTCTAAACTGCCGTGCAATGCTTTTAGTCGCAAATGGCGCATCGTCCATTGTGTGCCGCTTGGCAGTGGAAATGCAGACGCCATTTTGAAAACGGTCGTGTTGCTATTTCCGTTCTACTGCATGTCCTGTTGCTGACTCATCCTCAGCCTCCGCAGTTTTCCCCCCCTCACGGCTTAGTTCACATGACAACCTGAGCTGTGCTCTAAGGCCAGCGAAAACTCGTTGGCAATTTAAATACAATAAATATGCATTTCATTTCCACTTACAAACTCATTTGAGCTCCATTTACTTATGCATGTATTTTGCACACCCGCCCCACCCCCGCTCGCTGCCCATAAAAAAGGTGTAGGATATTACAGGTCTGCCAGAATTTGGGTCAGCTGGCAGAGAGGAAGGCAGAGGGAGAGACAGCTAAGAGGCACACTTGTAAAAACAGTCTAGGAGGTGCCACAGAGATAAATAAATCTTAGAATTTAATAAAATTACAATGCTGAATTTGTGTGGGGCATAAGCAAAGTTTCTCCAACAAATAGTTTAAGGTAAATTCTTATGTTATGTCCCCTAACTTTGATCGCTTTTTTGCTAGTGTAAAACGCTCTCAAGGATATGTATATCGCACTGCCGCTTTACCTTTGGCCCCAGCTTGCCCCCACACACCCACAACATTAAAAGCAAAAGAGCTTCAGTGCTGTGTTGCTGTCGCTGGTCGCCTTTTAACCCTTTTTACAACAGCATCACACACACACCCACCCACACACACACTCACACTTACACACACATTTTGTTTCGGGTTTTTGTGCGTTTTTTGGCTTAGCCTTTTTATTTTATTTCATTTGAATTTTATTTTTATGCTGGCTGGCTGGCTGGCTGGCTGGCAGAGGAAAAGCAACGACATAAAAAGTCGTTTTCAGTTTTCTCTCGCTTTTCTTTGCTGCCCTTCACCCTCCTCCTCCTGCGGCGCCTATCTGGATTCTCCTACCCTCCTACCTCTCCGCATCCCCGCCCGCTGCCAATTTAATGCCATGTAATTTACGAGAAACTCTTAAGAAGCCAAGCGCTTTAATTAAGCATGTGGCTGAGGCAGCGACCCAAAAGTGAAAATACCCTCATATTTCTTGTGATTTACCTTTATGGGTACACCCCAGCGCAGCCCCTCCGCGGCAGCACCCCTGCGGGCAATTAAATGAACATTTGGCATTTGCTGGCCTAAACATTTTGCCGGGCAAATTGTTTTCCAACAGCATCAACATGGCCCAATGCCGAGCTTGCACAAAACTTTTGTTATTTTCTTACGCTGTTTTTGGTCTTGCCTGGTGCTGGGTTTGCTGTTCTGGCAATTAATATCGTGTTGATAATTTGTGCCAAGAAAGGATTATGCAAATTGAGAGTAAACCTTTCGCTTGAACGCAGCTAAACATGCAACTCATCAGTGCCCGAAGAGAAAATTAATATTATCATTGGTAAATGGTGAGCAACATTCGGTGTAAAATATTTATACATTTCTGGCGATATTTAGAGTATCCATTTTTGGGCTATATCGATTTTGCTTTCATGGGTGAGGCCATCCATTAATCACGAGCTAAGCTAAGCTTTAATTATGTTCTTAGTTTTCTGTGCTCAATAAATAATTTATCAAAAATCGATTGCCACACAAATCCAAATGTCTAATGGGTCGTCCGTTCGCATCTCTCAGTCCCCCACTGACAGTCCCTAATCCCCACAAATCCCCATGAATCACCCACCAACACATTTTGAGCCACTTTTCCATTAATATGACAGAAACTTTTTAACAAATTATGTTGGTCGTTAAAGTTTTTTCCTTCCCCATCTTCCATGCGAGTATATTCCATCATCCCCAACCCGCAGCACCAACACCACTCGCCATTGCCATTCCCATGTGTGCCACCCATTGTCTCAGTGGGTCACACACATGCCTGGCTCTGAGGTTGCTTTAATCTCGAGTTGGATTCTCGCCTCGAACTCAACACGTGCTGGGTCAATGCTTTCAGCCCGAATTATTTATTGCATTGCTTTGTGTGACAGCCACCGTGGAGAGTGAAGAGATAGAGCATTATCCCAGCCTTTCCATCTAATTTAAAGAGCGTGAACAGCTCCGGCAGCCAGATCATAATTCAATATCAAAAAGGCATCTTGTGCCCGGGCAAAGCATACCGAGTATGAAACTAAATTGCACGGCCATTGCCGTCAGAATGGATGCCTCGCACTGTCTGCTCTGTATGCCCTGTCTGGGCCAACATAAACACAGCTCGGATATATAAAATTTTATGTGACAAGACAGACTGAAACCCTACACATTGCCAATCCCGCACAGCAGCGTACTTTTGTCTCGGATTTTGTCATTAGTTGGCCTGGCAAGCGGCAAGCGACGGCGTCTAGATAAAATGTTAAACGGCCTGCATATGAACGGTGAAAGCATGTGTGCCCCCCAAAAAAGTAGACTATTGCGCAGCGACATATATAAAGCGACAGGATAAGACACACAGAGGGAGAGTGAAAGGGAGATAGACAAAGCAACAGACGTACTAGGGGCAGGGGACGTAGCAGGTCGCTCCGCTGCACGTTATGTCTGATGATGTGGGTAGACATAATATAAAAATTTATGAAGCGTTTAATAAGTTTTCTCTTAGCTGGTCCAGAGCTAGGGGGGGGAATCCAAGAAAGTTGAATTCGGGTCGTGTCAACTGAAAATTTGTTCATCTCGTAAATTCATTTGAAAACCGTTGTCCTCTGTCTGCTGTCCGCTGTCCGTTGTCCTTTGACCATCGGTCTGTCCGGCAATTTCGTTTTTGCCAGAAGTTTAACGTAATTTATTTTATGTCGTGGCTATGATTAATAACACAGAGACAAAAAAAAAAGAAACGCTTTCGGGTTAGGACTGCCCGGGGTCTGCGGTCAAAGAAATGTTACGAATATCTGCAAAAATAAAGCGAACGCCTTGATTTGCTTTAAAATGATTGCCCGGCGGGCGCAATGTCCGGGCCGGGGACTGCCATTTCAGTGCTGATTTATGCTGCTGATTAGCGGCAGTCGCAGAATTGATGCAAAAATGGAAACGCTCTCGAATGAGTAATGATGTTTCAGCGGGGGGTCTGCTGCCATATCATTCCTGTATCATGCATATGACTCTGCCATCACATGTTGGGCTCCATGCTCTACTCACCCTCAATCTTTATGATAAATGACAGAAGGGAAATCGCACAATCAAATCAGAAGACAGAGGCAGAGGCAGAGGCAACCCTTTTTGGTTTATTGACTTCATTTGCCTGGAAGGGTTTCGGGCTTGAGGTTGAGCCGCTTCTTGCCGAAGACGACTTTTAATTAAGTAGGTAAGATGAGGAAGGAGTGGAGTAGAGTGGAGTGGAGTGGGAGTCCCTTCTAATTCGGTTTGCTTGGGCTCTGATTAAATTACATCATATTCATAAATAAAGAACAAATTTTGTGAGGCACGTCGACCGAGATTATAACCGAGACACATGTGCCCAAAATCAGCTCACGCGGTGTAGATGCCATTGCCATTATGGAGGATTTACGATGTCGTTAGGCGGTTCAAAGCTGTTTAATTAGGCACATCCCTCCACTCTCTCCCTCCGCATCCTGTTTGCTGAGCCCAAACATGGCCAAAAGTGGAGACAACAAAACATTAATAAGCAATCAATGCAATGCTTGTGCATACAATACATGGAATTGATGTCTTAATTGCCAGTTGAGCTTGGCATTATGTAAAGCGCTTGAGCTTTTTCCTGAGCCTCGAGAGCCCAGTCTCGTAATTGCCGGGAATCTTGCGGCACGGGGGCGGACCCACACTTACCGGCACGTTGTTGATGGTGAATCGGAGCTCGGACCGCGGCCGCGATGGTGGCGTACTGCAATTGGCGCGCAGCACATCGCCGGGCTCGTAGCGGGTGTGCTCCGTGAACAGCTGCGGCCGCTTCTCCGGGAACTCTGCAAGGACACAAACAAAGAGAGACCTTTAAATGGTGCCAACACTTGACTTGGCTTTTGCTTTGAGACGCAAGACAGCGAAACGAGAGCTCGGGCTCAGGCTCAAGCTCAGGCTCGAACAGATTCACAATTCAGAATTTTAATTGCTGCCAACGGAAGAACGGCACAGCTTTGCAGCATTGTCGTGCACCGCTTGTGGCTCTGTCATGTCAATTCTGTGCAGGCAACGCCCGCTAATGAGACAGAACTCTGTCGTCGTCGTCGTCGTCTTCGTCGTCGTCGTTGGGTACTCACCCACAACTTGCATCTGGGCATAGGCCGTGGCCGTGGAGTAGAGCGGCGCATCGGCAGTCACCTCGCAGCTGAATTGACCGGACAAGCCGAAGCTGACGTTGCGTATGAGCACCAGGGTGGCGTTCGAGCTGCCCTCCTGCAAGCATAAGAGAGAAAATTTTCATTTCGTTGCACAATGGCCGCACCATGGCCGGCACACTTGACTTACGTCCACTCTGATGCCGGGATACTGAAAGACCTTCGTGTGCGGATACTCCCCGGGCGTGTAGCGGTAGAACTCCATTTGGCCGCGGTAAAACTTGATGGAGTAGAGCGGCGCTCCATCCAGCTGGTAGTCGCACCGCAGTGCCACCGACTGGCCGCGCCGCACCGCAGGCGGTTGCACCAGCAGATTGACATCGCGCAGCGTGGCCTGCCCAACATCTGAAAGAGTGTAAGGGGAAGGCAAGAGGGGTATGCCATGAGATTTATTCAAATTGATGCGGCGGCATAAAGGAAAGGCCTGGCTGCAGTTCGGTAGGGGTCCAAGTACAGGTAGCTGTACTCTCGATATTGCTACATATCGAAGGAGGGTCCGGGGGGTACGGACCGGACCGGTTCGGTTCGGTTGCCTTGTTTATTTTAAAAGCTTTTGGTGTTGGCTCAAACGCTAGGCAGCCTGATGGCCACAGCATGGACACGCATTTGCATAGTCGTTCAGGAGCGTAAAACAATATTGAATCTGGCTGCAGCATCAGAGTTTCGTTGTCCTCGTCCTTGTCCTCTTCCGTTTTCGTTGTCGTTGTCGTTGTCGTTGTAATTTTCTCGGCTCTCGCACACAAATCCATTGGATTAAGAATTGCATCCGTTGGGCCCACGCGGCAGCAAGAGCAACATGCAACATGCAACATGCAAATGACATGCAGCATACTTTTAGGCGATTAAAGCCTTAAGAGTTCCCAGCCAGAGCACACCATCATCATCAGCATCAGCATCCGCATCAGCATCAGAATCGATGATGGCAGCAGCCAGAGCAAAGTTGACTGACTACATCAAAAAGCAATTTTCCATTTGTTTTACAATATGCCCCTACCCCACATCCTCCTCTGCCCCACCCACACACTCACAGACTGGCTCACAGATTGTCGCACACATGTACGACTTCCATCTGTGTGTGTGTGTGTGTGTGTGTGTGTGTGTGTGTGCGTGTGTTTGCGTTCAAAGTGTGTTTGGCTTTCCATAAACTCGCAAATCGTTTAAGCCGCCTTACGAGAAGTTGTAAACCTCTTTGCTTCCCTTCCCTTTTTTTTGCACTCTTCTGACTGAATCCTTGTGCTGCCTCGCTGGCGATTCGTGCTCGGATTCCCTACCCTTTCTCCACATTCATCTCCAGCTCTTTCTTGTGGTGTTTTCGCACATGTGCCTGTTTTCAAATAGAACTTGTGATAGCAACGCAGCATAATCAATGCTGTCAAGGCAGTGTGTGTGTGCCTCGTGTCTGCCTCAATTTCGTCACAGTTACTAGGAGTCGTATGCCTACACCCGCACCCATGCACGCCTCTGCGACACCCACTCGAGAAACAATATCCGTTTGACTGCTGCTTGTTGCGCTGTTACTGCTGCTGCCCCCTCCGCCCTTCTGTTTCGTTTTCATCTTCATCGACAGATTTCACAATGTTTTCCTCTGTTTCTGTGCTCATTCCTTTTTTTATTACTACTATTTTTCTTTTCTTCTTTTTTTCTCGCACTCCTGGCCGTATGTAGTTTAAGTCTGGCTCCTTACGGCCATTTGCCTTTCGGAAATTAGGCCGGGCTTAGGTTTACGGCAGCGCCCTGCAGTTTGAGTGGCTGATGCAGATTTCCACTCACATGGCACACCCACTGGGGATTTCCAGCTAGAAGCAGGGCGATGATGAATTTTTGTGAGCAGTGATTTGGCCAGGCAGCAAAGAAACAAACGGAAGTAGAAAAACTTTATGGCCCTTCGATGGATTGCCAGGGATATGCCCTAAGCGAGAGCATCAATTCCGGCTTACCAAAGGCAGCAGCAGCTTAGCCGGATTTAAAGGCTGCCTCCCACTCATGCACATACTCCCCCCACCCATAATGACCTTACATTTTTGCAATTGCTCTCAACGGTTTACCGCCCGTTGGCAACTTTTATGCAACTTTGCCAACACAAAGCAGGAGGGGGGATAAAAACGAGCAAAAATCGAGATGGAAATTGTGAAATATGTGCAGCTGTGATCATAAAACGTTTATTGACTGCAAAATTCAATATATCATGCATTCACCATTATGACAATATGCAGTTGCACGCACACACACAAACGGATATCTGTGTGAGTGCCACGGGCGTAGTTGTTGTGGGAGCGAGAGCTCTGGGAGGTGGACAAGACATTCTTTATGCTCTTTCGAGCTCACAAGCACTCCCAATACCATTTAGATGCCATTCAGATCTCTATTATTTGTGGACTGTGTGAATTATGTGTGCTAGAAGACATCTTGTTTCAGCCCAGGCTAAAAGTACCTCAAAAGTAAGACTCAAGCTTCCTTTTCTGCATGGGCAAATGAACCCCTTTCTGGTTAGCTACGCCGCTGGGCAAAATGCCATGCTCATGTGTGAAAACGTATGCTACCCGCACACTCATAAACTTTCAGCCACGCAACTGAGTTGAGCTCGCACAGATTTAGTTACAAATGAGCGCGGTAAATGCAGTGGGCGGAGCTGACGAGATGAGGGGTAGTCCTGGTAGTCCTTTGGCGGAGCAGTAGCAGGAGCAGCTGCTGGGGAAAACTAGAGGCAGACGAACTTTTTACAGACATGCGAGTCCGGGGCACTCAATGGAGGAGCAAGTGCAAGCCATGTGATGAACTCACTTGTGATAATTTATGGGTAATATTTTTATTGTCATATAGAGCGGCCAAATGCAGGAAAGGAAAGGAGGAGGAAAGGCAGAGGAGGAGGCACTGTGGCAGACGCCACGTCGCTACCAAACTAATTTAACTTATTGTCTGGCTCCCAGCACTGTTCCTGCCGCTTTTTCTTGCTGCAGGTTCTGCCTTGCGGCTGCCTCGACTCCTTGCCAGCTGCTTATCCCGTTGCGGCTTTCTGGAGCATGATGTGCAATAATTTCAAGTGGAAAAAAATTCCTTGCATACTTCTCAACGCCAGGCAGAGGAGAAAGAGAAAGAGATGGATAGACTGTTGTGGCAGGGGTTCTCAAGTTTGCGTCTTAAATATTTTATGTTAGTTTTCAAGTTTTGTTTTCTCCACTCGGCTGTCAATTGCCGCAGCAACCCCTAAGCGGCGCTTTCTTTGCCCTCTAAAAGAACACTTCCCCATACTCGTACTTGCCCCAACTGTAAATTGGTTTTTCGGATGATACTACGAGCATCGAATAAATGTTTTAAAGTTAAACAATTTACGCGCCAGGCAATAACAAAATTTTACACATGAATTCTTCATGTAATTACGCGAGGCCAAAAGCGAACAAAATTAACAAAAATATAAATTGCGCGGTTGCACATACAAAACAGGATCCAACAGACACACACACACACACACACAGAACCTCATGCCTTTTGGGCCAGAGATATATATTGTGGCATTTCGTGATAATTAACGCAATATTTCTGCCACGCAAAATGCCAAAAGGACCAACAAATATCGAATAACTTCCGCGCCAACAACAGGCACAAAAAATGCTTGCAATTATTTAGCATAATGCAAAAGCAAGAGCAGTGTACCACCATGTACACACATATATATTTATATTTATGTGTGTGCAAAAGCGAGGATATATTTGCATAATTTTAGAACATCAAAATTGGAGTTGAAATTACATTTGAAGTGGGTGGACTGCTGGCACGAAGTGAGGAGAGTCTGGGAGTGGTCTACGGTCAACGTTTTTGTAGACAAATTGGCGCTGTAACAGTTTTGAAAAGTTGCTGACATATTTCGCCAGGCCAGGCCAGGCCCAGACAGACAGAGACAAAAACGAGAGATAGGGATAGAGATAGAGCTAGAGAGACAGAGAGGGAGAGCGAGAGCGAGCACTGGCACTGGAATGATATAATTATGTGTTGAATTATGAATTGAAATGCTGAAAAGTTTTTATAGTTTTTATGAGCTCTGAAAACTTGCCATTCAACTAACATTTTCGGTCAACATTTATTGCTAATTCCAACTTCCATGAGAGTGTGCGAAAATGTTTTTAGATGATTTTAATGCACTCGGATCCTATTTGGCAGAGTCAAAGTTTATCGAGTGGCACAGAGCCCCCGAGATGATGGCGTCTAAAAATAGCCAAAAACCTTTTCACTGACTTTCTGGCGATGGAACATTATAATTCGATTCAAGGCAGACCAGTCTGAAGTAGGAAAAGAAAATGATAAATCATAAATTATTACGCACAGACATGTCGGATTCATTTCCATTTCACAGGCAAACATCAACATTTGTCTGCTGGGATATATTTCTATCTTTCGCTTTAGTCTTTGGAGTGTTTTTATTAAAGTTGAGCGAAAAGCTGGCATTTTTGCATTGGGCCAAATAGTCATCAATAAGCCTGTCAGAGGACATGTGCTTCAATTCCATCTTGGGCTTCATCTCCGTCTTCATCGTGCTCTTCATCGGCATTTGCATGTGTCAGTAATGGCAATAAACATAAAAATGAATGTCTGCCATGTGGGTGTCCATTGTTGTCCTGGCTGGTGCTTCAGGATGCCACGCCAGAATGTTTCGTGGCGTTTCGTTTCCATTCAATTATATTTTATTTCACACAGTTGCCACACAAAAGCCAGCATCAATTTAATGTGTGTCGTGTTTAATATTTGCTGACAATATTATTGTTGTCTTGTGGATAGTTTATGGTGTGTATAGGAGTCTTGAGATGCGTTAATCAGGATGCTATCCAACTGCACTGAATGATTCTCTTTGATCGTTGATTATCCTGACTGTTTTATAAAATTGATTTTTTGGCTAATTGTGCTGAAGCCGCAGCACTTGCCACACAGATTCCTTTGGCCTAATCCCTTTAATTTAGCCAAAAAGCCCCCACTCACACACACATCTGAACAAAGGCAACAAAGGTGTAGCATCGTTTGGGCGTCAGTCGTTTGCGTGTTTCAGCTCTGATAACAAATTGCAGTACAGGAACGCGAGGTGTGTTGTGTTGTGGTGTGGTGTGGTGTGGCGGTTGGCTGGGATGTTGTCCGTGGGCGGTGGCTGAGTGCGGCTGATGAGCCAAAAATAAACCACACGAACCTTTTGTAATTAAATGTTGAAAGCAATTTCACGCCCAAAACCAATTCACGCAAGCTTTAATCAGGTGTGGGGTCTCTCCCTCACTCGATTACTCTATTTAGCTCCATCTCTCTCTTACTGTTTGTTTGTGTTCCTGGGGCGTTGTTTGGGTCGTTGTTGGTTTAAATAAATTTAAACAAAATGTGCGTAATTAATGCGTCATACTGGACCCAGCAGCATGAGGGCTCTATAAATCGTTTGCTATCAATTTGTCTGTCTGTTCAGTCCACAAGAGTGTCTGAAAGTACATCAGTGTGTGTGTGTGTGTGTGTGTGTGTGTGTGTGTGTGTGTGTGTATCTGTGTGTGTGTATATCCGTACGCGTGCTGCTGTGGTCTGCCTCATGTTGCACGCACAATCAGTCGCCTTTCGGCTCTTATCGACTGGCACTGGCCATTGATTGCAGTTCATTAAGCACGCGCAGGCTCACGCACTCTCCATCGCATCCCTTAGCAGCTCGCGGGCCCAAAGGACTCCCCACCCCAAACCAAACCCAGCCACACCATTGCCAACACCAACACCAACCCAGTCCACCCCAATATCGACACCTGACAACCTGGCCAACTCATTAGCTGGCCATCTCATTCGCACTTTCTCTGGATGCTGCTGACCGTTGCCGTAGCCATTGGCATTCCTTGAACGTCTCTTGTGCTTTAACCTTTTCGTTGTGCATATATTTTCATAATATTCCCATCACCCATCTCACTCTCTTTTACTATCTCTCTCTCTCTCTCTCTCTCTCTCTCTCTCTCCCTTTCGTTCGCTTTGCATCTGTATCTGTTCGTCTTTCGTTGCTTTTGGCCATTATTGTTGATTGCTTATTCATGCATTCATTCATTTATTCATATGCCCGAGTCTTCGCCGATGAGCACTTTGCTTGTTTGCTTTGTTATCAAAATGAAAGTTTTCCCCCGAGCCAGCCCCAGCCATATCCCCACCCCATTAGCAACCCCTCCAATCTGCACAACTGGCCAAAATTAATTGCGGCTGGCTTCGGCTGGCTGTTTATATTTTAAATTAATTATAAATATTTATTTATCCTGATTAGTTAAGTGGATGGCGGGCTCTGACGGCTCTGTCCTGGCTGGAGGAGAAGGCTTAACCAAATTGATTTCAGTTTACTTTAGCACTGCACAGCACTTCTGCCCCACCGCCTCCATCGATTACAAAGCGCTGGCCTTAAAGCCAGACCAAAAACCGAACAGCTAACCAATCAGCCAGCGGCCAGCGGCCAGCAGCCGTCCATTACTCTTGGCCATGGTTCCTCCATACATATCTGTGCCCTGCCCCCGCTGCCTGATGCCGAATTCATTTTTCCCGTTCTGCTCTTCTTTTGTGGTTTCCTATAATTGATGGCAGCATCAATTTCCAAACGAAATAATCAAGCAATACGAGTACTCAAATGCATCGAAGAAAGCTGCTCGAATATACAGACACACATACCCCATGGGACGTGGCTCACGTGGCTTGATTTGCCGTGTTCTTGCATCCATCCGCTGCATACTTTCGAGAGCCAAAGTTAATTTCAGGTTTAAGTGGCAGCAATAGCAACAGCAATGGCCATGGCTACACTGTCAGTGGCAGTTGCAGCTGCTGACGTTGATGCTGGTGCAGAAGGAGGCAAAATTATTGAAGGCAGCAACGGACCAGACGCAGATGGGAGACTGGGCAAAACGTTTAAATGAAAAACACGAGTCAATTTATATTGCGCTGCTGACGTGCCCCTTTTCCCAGTCTATGCTCCGCTTAATCTTCCTCCGCTTCTTTGCGCTATTTTCAAATGTTTTTCCTTTGGCTGTTTAGCCACTTTTTCCTGCTCTGTCAGTTGTATCGTTTTAGACGTGGCACAAAAACGAATCCACACACACGTCGCCTTCGTTCATTTGGCCATGTCTGTGCTTTCTTTTTTATTTTGGCCAAAGCTTTACAAAAATCTGCACAAAAATGCACGGAAATTCATCTTGATTTGTGTTGAGGGTTTTTATTTTTATTTTTTTTCTTACTAGTGCCCCACTCTGTGTCTGCGTCTGTGTCTCCCACTGTACACGGTTGGGTGTCTGTATCTTACTCAAGGGCCCAAACTGCTGCAGTTTTTGTATCCCTGTATCACTACAGTTTGGCGGTTTGTTGGTTTCTGGCTTTGTCTGTCTGTCCCTTCTTTTTGTGGGGCGTGGCGCACTAAATCAGAGACATTTAAGCGCATTTTGTTAAAAGTCACTTACTGCGCTGGATGGGCCATGGCGGCTATGGCTATGGCTGGCTCGTACTTACCACAGAAGACGCAGAGCAGCAGCAGCCAGTGTAGGAGGCGGAGGCTGCCACCGCTAATGTTGCTGCTGGTCCTTTTTGTAGTGTTGCTGTTTTTGTTGTTGCTGTTGATGGTGATTGTGATGTGGCTGCCACAACGACACCTACGCGAGGACGCTGCTGTCGCGGTGTCTGTTGATGGCAACATGTTGCTCGCTCCGGCTCTAACTCTGTGACTCTTCATTTCCGCGTGGTAAGTGCTGGATTTGGATCGCTGTTTTCCCTTCAGGCGCTGCCCGCACCTGCATCTGCACCCGGACTGGGGTCGTCCCGGCCCAAGCACAGCCGCCGTGAGTGATGTGGTTGCAGTTGATAGTGTCTGCCACATTGTCAACGTTGTTCTGGCCACTTTGTGAGCTCTGTTTGTTGTTGTTGCCGCCAGCCGACTGCTCCTCAAATTAGACATTAATTAAGTGTGAAATATTTTTGCTTTGTTTCGCTTCGTTTCGGTTTTGATTCTTGACTCTCTGCAATTATTCTAGGATTTAATTTGTATTTATTTTACACGCACTTGGCTACGTATTTCTTTTGATTTTGTTTTGCTCATTTGATTTGCTGTTTACGTATTTTCCCCATTTGTTTTCCACACTCGAACACTCGAAACACCGAAACTTCTTTCTCCCGGCTCTCACGTCATTCTTTTTCTCTTTCTCTGTCTTTTGCTGCACAGCGAACGCGTCACACAACCGCCAGAGTCGAATGCCGCACGAAGTTTGCCCTGCGACACGAAGAGTTGTTGTTGCTGCAAATGTTGCTGTTGTCAATTGACGCTCAGCAACATGTTGCCTGGAAAGTGTCTGACACTTGGGCCCAGTGCCCGTGCCTTGTCTGTTCCGCGAAAATGTTTGTCACTCGACATTTATAGTCATTTTTAGTGTTGCCCCTAATTGCTTCATATGCCTCTTATGCTGCCACCGCAACAAAGCTTCTTCCTCTCTGTGGCTTCTTCCTGCCCTGCAATGGGAGAGTGGAGAAATGTTTCAATTAGTTGTTGACAAAGCTTGGCAGGCAAAAATATTAATTTTATTGCTCGTGTCGTAAAGCAGCGAGTGTACAAAGTGTTCCTGATAAATAATATACGACTCAGCAAATGCACCAGGGAGTCAGAGAACTCGGCAGCACATTCCACCGATCGTCACGTGCCGAGACCTTGCTCTGCCCCCAAGACTGATTTATGGGGCAGTGTCGCCAGCGATAAGGCCTCTGCCCATTGACCTTACTCAATCGCCGTGGCGGAACGTGCCCCGGGGCCAGGAATGCGTACCCAAACTGAAGAGTGCTGGCTAATTAGCAGCCAGTCAGTCTCTCTCAGTCTCTCAGTCCGCCACTGTCATGAGCAACAATGGCATCCAATTTGGATTTGGATATTCCGCTGGCGGCTATCAATGAATGGGTTTTTGCATTATTTATGGCATTCCCGTGCTGCTCCATTATGCGCTGCACTCCCGGAAATACACAATTTCCAATCCTTCAATAGCTCTGCGCGATCCCCACGCTGCAAAAAGAAAAAAACCAAAAAAAAAAGAGCTGCAAGCTTCCTGCCTCCCATTGTGCCTCAATTGCAGCCAGCGCACATTGACTCTGTTGCCCAAGCAAAGTTTTGGGATTGGTTCCCCATAGAAAGTTTGGCTAATTGCGTGGAGGGCGCAGAACAGTACCATCCATTGTCTGATCCCCGACAACCCATTCTGGCATTTTCTCATCCCTTTGGCTGATGCTGAAATCGTGCACTGAAACCAAAAATCACTTCCGCTTGGTCATCAATTGGTGTGGGGTGGGGGATACTCAACTCAACCTCAACCCCAACGCCATCCAATGGGATCTGCTGCACTTCACACATCATTTCCTCTGCTCAACGTTTATTATGCCATTTGTGAGAGACCAAATTGTGACAATTAGTCGGCAGGAAAAAGGGCGGTGCGACGTAGGCGCCGCAGAAGGGCAACAACGTTGCATCTATATTTAGTCCCTCACTCTCTACCCCTCATCACAGCATATATGCCACTGTTGCATTGTCGAACCTCTCTCTGCGATTCATTTATAATATTTTGTCATTGTCGAGGGCTGCTTTGGGTTGCTGTTGTTGCATTTTATTAATTTGTTTGTCATATTTTCACGTTTGTTTATTGATTAAAATGTGCACAATGGCGGCCAAAAAATGGGGGGAAGCTGTATAGTTGGGGGAGAGTAGGATATTGTCTGCTGCCAGCCGTTGTTATACCCTCTACTTGGTTAACCCTAGGGGAGGTATATTCGTTTCCCCAAAGGCATGTTGCAGACTGTGAAAGATGGAAGAAAATACTTTAAAGTTTGACTTTAACCACGATGATACCTTGAATATAAATTATATCTATTTATAATCTATCAGCTTAATGGGTATCTTTTAGTCGCAGTGCCATTGCCCCACGTGTTGTTTCTGCGGTGGCAATGCCGCTGCTGCTGCTGCTGCTGAAAACATGTGTTGCCAGCAACATTATCACTGCTGTTGCAGCATTGTTATTTTTATTCCCCGTCTGTCCCGGCTACACCCCGCCAACCGCTTGCCACTGCCGCTGTCTGGTATTTTAAATAAAACATCATTTTTTGTAATTGTTGCCTTTGCGTGAAACATTCTATTGCCCCAGCACTCATCTGTCGCCCCATGCCCCTAGACCCATACCTCGTCTGTCCTTTGTTCACCTAGCCTGTGGGCCGGGCCCCCTTACATATTCACCCCTCGCCACTCAGCCCCTTGGTCTTGTTTGTTTGTACAAATTATTATGAATGATAATTTTGTCTGTCGCATTTTTCATACATTTTTCCATTCTCTGACGCTTTTATGGTCTCCATTGTTGTTGTTGTTTGTGTTTTTTATGCCTGTGGCTTTGTTTTATGAATTTCATAATTAATTGTGTTTGACAGGACCTAGTGTTTTCACTAGGGGCCATCCATTTTTATATTTTGATTGATTCAACATGATATTTGGCAATTTATCATCATTGTACATCGAACTTTGCAGCAGACTGCCATGGCACAAAGGTGGAAATATTTAAAATAATAATTTATTACCATCGATACAATAACAAATACGCCATAATGAATGCTCCTAGAGTAGCTCTTCAACAGTATTAAATTCTATTCATTTTAATTGGCAAACTGCGGCTTTTCTTTGACATAATTGTTGGTCTTAACCTTCGACTCCCAGCCCTGCCATGCCAAATGTGTCACTGTCAGTGCGGCAAAACATTTGTATTGTAATTGTCATTCCTGGCATTCTTCTGGGCGCAAAGTTTCCACACACGATTGTGTATCTGCATGCTTGTCTTTGGCATATTTTGGCCAGAGACAAATGACAAAAGCCGCCAACGAAAGACAATTAGCTAAATGCGAAATGGAGGCGGAGGCGGAGGCGGAGCGAGCGGAAGAAAGCTGCTTAGAGTCTTGCCATTCCGCGTTGCTTTGTGCTTTTAATTAAAAGCAGATTAGCAATGCGCGTGCAATGTATTTTTGTGTGTTGGGCCCACCCAGCACCCAGGTCAGGGCCTCACCCACTCGGTAGGAAAATTATTGTCCCCACAACCCAGTGAGCTATCAAGCGCATTTGTCTGAAGACATTGACAATGACAGCAGCTCAAGAGTAGCTGACTGAATGCCGTATGTATGTATCAGTGTATCTGTGTGTGTGTGTGTGTGTGTGTGTGTGTGTGTGTGTGTGTGTGTGTGTGTGTGTGTGTGTGTGGGGTTAACTGTCTCCGACAACTGCCGGAATAAAGCCAACGCCATTTGGAGTGCCACGCTCCGAGCTGCTCCAGCACCCAAACTCCAGCTCCTTCCACTTCTGTCGTTACTTTTAATTCGAGTGCTTGAATGAAATATTTTTATGCATACTTCTTGGATGCACTGCACCCTGGAAGGAGGGACACTTCAGTGAAGGATAGCAGAGAGAACGAGAGAGAGAGGGAGAACAGAAGGGTGTCTCTGCCTTCAGGGCGTCGTCTTGTTACTCGCCACATCAGTCACCGCTCACTTGACACATTTCGCCTGCCATGATGCAATTGGCACCAAGACATGCCCAGCACATGGGCAATAAAAGTTGCTGCTGTTGTTGTTGCTTCTGTGTTGTGGATGCTGCTGCTGCCACTGTTGTTGATGACTTAAAAATAGCTACAAGTTTTTCACACCAAATTGCCAGAGCTGCAGCCTTGCTGCGCCTCGCGACGCGATGCGTCGACAACAAATTGAAATGTTGATTTCAAAGTTTCGGATCGACAGAGAGAGACCCGCCAGCTGTCAGGTGAGAGAGCCTCGAATTGTCATAAATCTGTCGGCGCAGTGGATGACATTTTCGGCATTGATCTGCGGAGTGCTTCCTCGGATAAGCTTCCTGTATTTGGGGGCTGAAATTTAATTGCCTGCTCGCAATGTTCGCACCAAGTCAAAGATTTTCACATCAGCTTAATTACCGCACGAAACACGTGCTCTGTTCGTTCTCCGTGCAGCATGCCCAGCGTTTAAAAGGGGGGGAAAGCATCAGCATTTCCATTCAGAAAGCACACACACACACACACACACAGGGAGAGAGAATTCAGAGGACGTTGCAGCAGCAACATGAGATGTGTGTGGGGTGGGCCAGTGTCTGTGGCTTCACCAGCTCGTTGGCTCCAATTTTCTGAACTTAATTGCCACAAAATGCGCATAAATGCGATTTTATTAAATTCGCTTTAAAATTGATTTTGCACGCCCCACGATCGGCAGGCATGTGGTTGCATGCAGCATGTGGAGCCCCCAGCCACCCCAGTATTTGCCCACAGTTGCGGTTCGGTCTGCACTGAGCCTCTTGCATGAATGGCTTTTATTCATAATCATATTTTGTGAATTCATGTACATTTACTCTCTATCTCGTTCTCGTTCTCGTTCTCTCTCTTATATGCAGCTTTTGCTGATTTCGTTTATTGCTGGCCGCGAGGCAACTTGACTTTGAATCTATGGCGCGGCTTTTGGCTTCTGTTTCCACTTTTAATGCTGCGAATTAATTAAAAGCCTTTCGCAGCAGCAGCTTAGAGAATGATGTGCATTGTTCCTGCTCCGCTTTTCCGTTTTTTATGCTACTTTCTGCTGCCACGCCCATTTGCATTTAATCTTGAGAAAAATTAATGCGAGCTGCGATTCGCTGAGCGTGCGAAATGTACAAATGAGCCAAAAGAAATAAGATGAAGATGAAGATTAAGGGCCTGAACAAAAAGTGTCCCTTGTATTGGTATCGGGTTCTCAGCAAAAAAGGATTGCATCTCTGATGGAGATCCTAGGGCCTAAGAGTTTATGTCTCCTTCCTCGGAACTCGCTCTGACCCACAGCTAATATTATTTGGCATTTTCCTTTGCTTCCCTTCCCAGCCCAAATCTCACCCAAAATCCAATTACGTAAAGAGGAAGAAGCCCAGCTAAGGTCAAAGCTCGACCTCTGCCCACCTACCCCACCAGCACTCTCACTCTCCCACATAAACAATCTCTCCCAGTGCCACTCCCACCCACAGAGAGCACTTGAAATCCAATTTTCATAATAAGCATGAAAGGCGAGAGCCACCAAAAAAAAAAAAAAAGGAAAGAGGATAACGGATGCGAATTTAATAATAATATAATTTCGGCACAATTATCTCAACAAATTAAGCCAAACCACGGAGCAGTTTAGTTCAAGTGAGCAGATCTAACCTTGTTGTTGGTGTTGGTCCTCCTGCCACAGCTCCTCCCTACTCCCTCCCTGCCGCCCTCCTGCTCTTGCTGCTGCTCCTGCTGTTGTAGGCTCTTTGACCCAAAACGACAGCTCATTTTGCGGGCAGCTCTCGAGCACATGGGCCTGAGGTTGGGTCGTGCTTTTTCGAGTATGGCTCGCTCTATGTAATTAAATTGAAATTTCAATATTGCGAGTGGCCCAGAGGATGGCAAAGTGAGCGCTGGAAGGGCAGCTGGCAGGCGTGC